GATGCGCTCCTTAGCCTGCTCCTTGAGCTTGTTGATCTGCCACAAATTAACAAGTGAAATTCATTTGTCTTTCAAGAGCTTCTGGCCTCGAACGTGATGTTTTTGTAGTATTTGTTCTTGTTCTTCTTCGTCGACACAAGGTTCTGCAGATCCCCAGCCTGCAACACAAACAACAACCCCAATCGACACTGAATCAACTACAAACGACTGCGAAATTGTGGCCTTCTGGGAGAACGATTTCTCCAAGGCCAGAAGCTGATCGATCAAAGTGGCCGACAGCTTGAGGGGCTTCAGCTTGAATGCATAGTCCCTTATCGAACACAAGCAGTCTACAAATGTATTTATGCATCGGTCACCCACCTGCAGCAGTTCTTGTCCTTCAGCAGACCGCTCAACAGGATCTTCGCCTTCTCCAGCGGGGTATCCGGCACCACCTGTTTGAAAAGCCAACAAGTTACAATCACATCTACTTCAACTATATAATCCCTTGCGTCCCACCTTGGTCGCTTTGCTTGGGTCAGCCTTGCCCTTTGAGGCCTTGGCCTTCGCCTTCGCTGCACCCGACGCCGGGGCTCCACTCCCCATCATCTGCAAAGCCTTGCCCATAGTATCCGCACTGACCCCATTGCCCAGAGCGAGCTGCTTGCGCGGGTCCAAGACTCCTCCGGCCTCCCGTGCAAATTTGCCACTACCAACATGACAGCAACTACCACGCTGGCAACAAAACCTGCCTCCGTGAAAGCCTTCAACATCTCTGCGTCTATCTGCCCTGCTAGTTCCAGCTTCGTAATCCTCTGAATCTCGCGAATGTCATCGACGTTAATTTCGACGAAAACAAAGTAGAGAGAATCGTCTGGACATTCCGGATCGGCAATCGTCCTTATTCATCTGCAGAATTCAAAACATATTTGTTATAAACAAGCATAAGACAAACATGTTTCTATAGAATCCCAAAACCCTACAATGCTCTCGACTCGAAAAGAAAGAGACTGCAGACAGGAATCAGCCCAACACTTGCCCCACCCCACCGTAGCTGTAGCCCACCCCACATTCCCACCCACCCCACCCACACCCGGCCGGCCCCAACCCTGCCCTATAGACCGCCAACCCACCGACCCAATACGGATTAAAGACTTGTACGTATTCACAGAAAAGCTATGCACATCATAACACACACCAGCATGCACACTTAAGTTTCGCGTGCACTTGATCTCTGACTCTCTCTCTCTCTCTCTCTCTCCCTCTGTCTTATTCTCTCTATCTCCTCGTGGCTCTCTTTTGTGTAGTGTAGTCAGGTTTCAATCCTTGGGCTTTCTTGCGCTCGATGATCTTCGCCCCCTTGGACTCCCCGTGCTGAGATTTCACCCACTGCTCCGACCTGAAGCCAAACCTGATCTGACTGACCTGAGCCTCACGAAGTGATTGTTCATGCTTTGCAATGATTTGGTTCACATTCCCGCCGCACTCGATGTAGTCTTGGAAAAGGCGCATACGGCTAGGTTCGTCGGCGATCCTGTCTCGTAGCACTTTTGGGAATCTTCGTCGGCTGTTGATCCATCGACCAAACCTAAGGTACTCCGTGTGGTGTGAGTTGCTGTTCGCTGCCTGCAACTTGTGCTCTGCTTTCGACAAGGCCGTCCCGGCCTTTGCATCACCATCCTCGGCATCTCTCGTAGCCTTGCGGCTCTTGAGCTTGGGATCCTCTGCAGCCTTTCTCTCCGGGCTACTTTGCCTTTGCTTCTTCTT